TTACGTGTGCACCTCGTCTTGGGGGGCGGGCGGAGACTGTCGGAGACTTTGTCTGGGCAAGGAGATGACGGTCCAGGTGGTGTTGCTGTCTGTAGGTAGCGTTTGTTCAGCGTGTACTCACTATTGGGCGGCCGACGGAGCTGTTTCAAGAGGTCAATGACGGTCTCCTCAGTTCGCCTGAACGGCATGCCACGTCCCACCAATCAATGATAGCAGACGCACAAGCCTACTGCAGGTATTTTTTTCAATCACAAAGAACTATTCCACCTCCCGATCTAGTACCACCCGCGGGGGGTTGTTGTTGTTGTTGTTGTTGTTGTTGTTGTTGTTGTTGTCTTTACAGTAAAAACCGTTCCGATCTCTCTCTACCCAGTACCTTCGTATGTCCGTACTGATCCAACACTCGACGCGGTCGATTCCCGTGGTCACAGGCTAACTTACCCTAAAAAGGTACACTAATATAAAATGGTCCCGAGGTGTCCGCAAGTCAATAGAAATGAACGACAGATATTCTGGAGTCCTCCACTCCCTCTGCGTGCTATGCGAGGTAACAACTGAGGCTAGGAGTCGCTATCACGGGCCGGAGAGAATGAGGTACACCCCCTTGGTTCAATCGTGGTACTTCACAACGCAAGCAGAGACAAGGCCATCTGGCACAGAAAAAGAGAGAAAAAAGAGAAAAAGAGAAGAAAATAAAAGGAAACAGGAAGGAAAGAGAAAATAAGTAAAAAGAGCGAGGACAAAAAGGGACCAGGCCGAAAATAACAAGAAATTAAAGACAGAAAAAGGCACACGGTGGAGAGATCACTACCGACAAGCAAACACGCAAACTTGGCCACCAACCAGCGATACATTGTAATGGTACGTCATCACTAGTGGGGCGTTGGTGCAATGGTGCAGCGTTGGGGGGGGGGAATTGGCTAAAAGAAATTCAATCCGGCACGTATCGCGCCACTCCGTCTCTTCTCGCTTGCTTTCTTCCCTCGCCGTCTCGTCCGTCTCCTGCCCCCCTCCCGCCCCTTTGGTTGGTGGCTTGTGGTTTCGTGTTATGGAGGAACAGAGAAATAAAAGAGGGAGGGAGCAAGTTCGTTGCTCCTGGCTTCGGGTACTCACAGTTGTTGTTTGATCTCTTGTTTTTGCCTTCTTAGACCAGGCCCGCTCAGCGCCCACTCGGAGAGTTAGGGAGCGGGGCTGGGATTTTGATCTTCCTTCAAGCTATTTCAATACCCCTCAACGACGCCAACTATCAATATCCAAAGAAAATACAAAATATCGAACAAGCGCTCATACAACGTTCATGAAACGCTCGTACAATGCTCACACACTAGTTGCTCCGTTACATTAGCCCACCCTGGGAAGTCGTAGATGCAGATACTTTATCTTCAATCCAATGCTCAACTTCAAATAAAGATCGAAGATGCGACTTTCCAAATCAGACAAAATAAGAAAAAAAATAAAAGCAACTAGGATCGGAGAAAATAGTTCATCCCCGACAAATACACCAAACCATCCCCACAACACACAGTAATGACTACTAAGAATCACATCGCCAACGACGGAACCAGTCTGAATCAAAACGGGGTTCGGTCGTGGCGAAAGCGCGAAGGTCGGGGGAACTATTGCAACGATAAAAGAAGCTCACACTACCCAAATACGCGTTTAGCGTACCGCTGCGTACGACGTGGAAAAAAATCACAAAAAACATAAAAACATGTAGCGGCCCGAAGGCGGCATGCTATCGAAGCACAATCCAGATGGGGCAACAGCCAGCTGTGCCACAGCGCCTGGTGTTCGCGACGTAACGCCATCATCAGTGGAATGGTTGGTCAGACCACGAGTACGGTGTTTTTGCAAGCACCAAGAACCGCAAGGAGCATCCAAAACCGTGGAGTAAATATTNCGAAAGCGCGAAGGTCGGGGGAACTATTGCAACGATAAAAGAAGCTCACACTACCCAAATACGCGTTTAGCGTACCGCTGCGTACGACGTGGAAAAAAATCACAAAAAACATAAAAACATGTAGCGGCCCGAAGGCGGCATGCTATCGAAGCACAATCCAGATGGGGCAACAGCCAGCTGTGCCACAGCGCCTGGTGTTCGCGACGTAACGCCATCATCAGTGGAATGGTTGGTCAGACCACGAGTACGGTGTTTTTGCAAGCACCAAGAACCGCAAGGAGCATCCAAAACCGTGGAGTAAATATTCTCCGGGAGAGACAGCTGTCGGGGACCGGGGGTGTCCAAAAATCGAACAATGTACTGGCCTGTTGCGAAACTACTAATTTGCCCAAGCCACCAAAGTCCATCGAAAGCGTTTTACCAAATGTGGGCTCCGACAGGTGAAACGGAAACAGAGAAGCGAGCCAACCAGACATCACGCGAGACCAACTCGTACCCGGGAGCAATGAAACGTTCGGCCTGATTCCGAGCAAGTTCTCGGTCGGCCGAAGCTATCCGAGCATTACGATAAGCTCGGTTCCCTTGTACGCGCTGACTAGCGTTACCAGACCAGTAAAGCAAGATGTGCTTTCTGTATTCCTGCAAGTCGGACTCCCTTTCCCACGACGGGGTCAATAAACCCATCCGGTGAGTCAGGTGCAAAACGGCTACCACACCACCTCGTCCACGTACAATTTGGTGTCCCGAAATATTCTCAACATCGAGACGACTAGACTCCGCTACAATATCATCAGTAGTCTTCTACGGGGGAGACTTGCTACTATAAGAGTGCAAAACATATTTCGACAGATTGGCCGGCATATGCGTAGGCAGGTCATCCGTGTCGTATGGGTTGGTACACGGTTGGCACCGCAAGACTGAGACACGGTGGCGAGGTTCTGGTCCCAGCATGTCTAACGGCAGGTCCAGGTAGAGAAGTTTGCGCTCCACAGATTTCCCGTACGGTGAATCCTCCGCGTTGGCCGGGCCAACAGCAAGGATCTTAAAGGGCCCGGTATAATTAAGCGAAAGCTTCGCTTTGAGCACCAAACCATCGGTGTGCNCGGCATATGCGTAGGCAGGTCATCCGTGTCGTATGGGTTGGTACACGGTTGGCACCGCAAGACTGAGACACGGTGGCGAGGTTCTGGTCCCAGCATGTCTAACGGCAGGTCCAGGTAGAGAAGTTTGCGCTCCACAGATTTCCCGTACGGTGAATCCTCCGCGTTGGCCGGGCCAACAGCAAGGATCTTAAAGGGCCCGGTATAATTAAGCGAAAGCTTCGCTTTGAGCACCAAACCATCGGTGTGCTTCCGCACACCCTGCCGAATAGTAGCGGCGGAGTTGTAGACCCAAGCCCAACCACCAACGTCGTATTTCGATATGTGACGCAAACCGTCCAACAGTGCAGAGTTCCGGCATTCGACACGCGACACCGTAATCGCATGTTGTTCCCGCAGCAAAGCGTAGGCTCGTCTCTGGTGTTCCACCGCAAGGTTGCAGAAAGCGAGCTGGTCTCGATCCAAACTTTGATGGCCACCCACGCTAGGGTGGTCCAAAACAGAAAGCGGGAGACGGGGCAACCGTCCAATATGCACTTCATTCGGCGCCAAGCCTGTGGCGGTGTTTACCGAGTTGTTGTATGCAAACTCTACATGGAGAAGATGGACGTCCCAATCGTCCTGACGCTCATCGACCACAACAGCGAGCATTTGAGCCATGGTGTGGTTAACACGCTCCGCCCCACCGTTAGTTTGGGGGTGGTACGAACTGGTGGTGACTTTCCTGATGTTCATCAGCTCGTAAATAGCGATTGACAACTTGGAACAAAATTGCATGCCGTTATCCGAAAGAAGAGTCACCGGACAACCCCACACCGTCATGTAGCGGTTGACGAAAATGTTGGCCGTTCCCTTAGCGGTAAATTCCGCCTTTGTAGTGGCACACATATCCGCTCGTCGACTGAAACGGTCGGTAAAAACAAGTATACATGCATTACCACGGGACGTGACCGGCAATGGCCCAAAAATATCAACGCTCACTCNTGGTACGAACTGGTGGTGACTTTCCTGATGTTCATCAGCTCGTAAATAGCGATTGACAACTTGGAACAAAATTGCATGCCGTTATCCGAAAGAAGAGTCACCGGACAACCCCACACCGTCATGTAGCGGTTGACGAAAATGTTGGCCGTTCCCTTAGCGGTAAATTCCGCCTTTGTAGTGGCACACATATCCGCTCGTCGACTGAAACGGTCGGTAAAAACAAGTATACATGCATTACCACGGGACGTGACCGGCAATGGCCCAAAAATATCAACGCTCACTCCAATACCCGGCCCATTCGGGAGGGGCAGAGTGAGCGTAGGCCAGCGATACGTGTGCCGGGACGTCTTGCGTGCTTGGCAAATGAAACAATGCCGAAGCCACCAACGAACGGACAAGGCCATCCCAATCCACCGGAAGAATCGTTCCAACATCCGATAAGTCCGAGCGGTACCCAGGTGAAAAGACGCGGTGGCGTGACATGCTTGTAGGATCCAAGGTCGCAACAGCATAGGCACGTATATGCGCGGAGTGTTCGAAGGCGGGAAGCGAGTGATACGCCCGCCCGAAGTACCGACAGGCAGTGGGGCAGAATTTCGCACCAACAATCGCGTACCATCGTCTGTAGTGTGCAGGCATGTGTTAGATGCGAGGGCGACAACAATAGACAACGCCGGTCGTCGCGCACAGAACAAGCAATCCCAGAATGTATCCGGCAAAACTAGCGGGGATCCCAAAGAAAAAAATGTTTAGCCGCCACGCACTCACTTTCCGACATCTGTTCGCGGGCCCAGTCGGCATGCGAGAATGTATGCACCCAATCGCGGAGATAAGCTTCCTCAGCGGCCGTGGGCGGTACCACTGGAGCCACAGGGCTAGTACCCGCGGGCGACAACACTGTCGGCGTGGGCGCCGCGGGCGTTAGCGGTGGCACCGGAGTAGCGGCAGCACGCGGGGGCGGCGGCGGCGGCGGCAGCCCGGCCGGCGCCGAGAAAGGCGGCGGACCAGCCGTAGGGCTACCCACGACTCTCGTAGATTTCGCGGCACCGCTCGACCGGGCCGGCGTTCGAGGAGGCCGCGGCGTCCTGGGCACCACAACGGCCCGTGGTTGTTTTGGAAAATAATTTGGAAGGCTGTGAGCCATGCCAGCGGCCGGTTTCGTTCTCGCCCGAGTACGAGAAGAAATCAGAGAGCCACGCAAAAGCGACAGGGCAGCCGACGAGGTTCCGACGGTGAACGAGGGAGCGACGTCCGGCTCCGCAGAAACGGAAGCCGGAGAAGGTCCATCGGGCACAGAACCCACGGGGGCTGTATCGCAAACAACAGCGAAAACACCAGGAAGCGAAAAAATCGACGAGTCAACTACGGAGGAGGGCGACGGAGCCGGCAGGACCATTTGTGGCCCAAAACGGCGGAAGTCCCCAAATTCATCCCCCGTCAAAGGCGCGTGTGCCAACGCGTCTCGTGGATCGTCAATGTCAAGCCCACCCAAGCCGATGTTCGGCGTCGAACTAGAGTGATAACTCCGTCCGCACGCACGAATGAGATAAACGCCCGCGACGTCATCGACTGCGATACTGGTGTCACCGTGTCTACCCGCTTTGGTTGCCGGCAAGGGCAACCAGGAAACAAAATCCGCATTGGCGTTGGCAGTGCCTTTGCGGTAGACAAGGGTGTAATTGAACGAGGAAAGGAACTCGAGCCAACGTTGAACGCGGGCGTTGTGTTCACCCACCTTGACGATGCTTTCCAAAGCCTTGCGGTCCGAATAAATCAGAAAGTGCGTAGACCAAAAATAGCCGCGCAGGCGTTTGATTGCCCACACGATTCTTCCAGCCTCCAAATCGAGCACGGTCCAATTGCGCTCGGATTCGAGCGTAGCGCGGCTAACGAACAGAATGGGGCGAACGAAACCATCGGCCTGTTCTTGTTCAAGAGCCTCACCAAAACCATCCACACAGGCATCACAGCAAAGCCGGAGAGGGCGGCTGCCATCCGCGACAGCATCCCAATCCGGGAAAGCCAAAACCGGAGGTTCGGTCAGTTTCGCCAAGAGTCCTTTGACAGTATCCGCCATAGCCGGCGTAAAACAAAACTTCGCGTCCTTACGCAAAAGGTCGGTGAGTGGTTTCACGCGAACAGCCAAACCCTTGATGGATTTTCGGTAATACGAAAGCCCACCCAGCAAAGAACGCAGCTGCTTGACGTTATTAGGCAGCAGCATTTTTGTGAGGGCTTCGACCTTATCGGCACGAGGACAAGCACCCGCAGGGGAGATGGTGTGGCCTAAATAAACAGCCTCCTTAGCGCCGACGTGACTCTTAAGAGGAGAAAGCTTTAGGTTGTACTTGCGCAAACGCTCCAAAAATAACCGTATGTTGGCGACATGGTGGACGGGGTCAGCGTCAAACACAATCACATCGTCTAGGTACGCAAGCACGTGGTCCAGACCTTTAACCACTTCGTTGATGACCATAGTGAACCATGACGGTGCAACGGAGCTTCCGTGAGGCATACGGAGCCACTCGAAAAGTTGTGTGGGCGTGCAAAACGTCGTAAGCTGAACCGTGTCCTCGTCGACTGTGATCTGGTGGAAAGCGGAGTTAAGATCGAAAATGGAAAACACTATGCCCTTGTGCAGGGAATCGATGATGTGGTCAACACGCGGCTGCGGTTGTTGGCCAAGGCTGCACAATTTGTTTCGCTTCTTGTAGTTCACGGTCAAACGCAGATTGCCGTCCTTTTTAGGCATGACAACCAGAGGGCTCGCCCACGGCGATTGCGAGTGCTGGATAAGACCGGCAGCAAGGTATTGATCGAGAATTGCATCGACCTTCTTCCCCACCAGATGGTTGAGCCTACAGGGACGCGAAGCCAACGGTTTCGCGTCCGCGGACACTTCCAAACGAAACGGTTTCACGGAACAGCAACCGAAATCGGACGGTGACCGTGAGNGGATAAGACCGGCAGCAAGGTATTGATCGAGAATTGCATCGACCTTCTTCCCCACCAGATGGTTGAGCCTACAGGGACGCGAAGCCAACGGTTTCGCGTCCGCGGACACTTCCAAACGAAACGGTTTCACGGAACAGCAACCGAAATCGGACGGTGACCGTGAGAACACATCCGAAAAGTCACACAGCACATCCGCCAGGCTGTTGATGGCTTCCGGGGTCCAACCCGAGGCGTGTAAGTCAAAAGTGACATCGTGCAAATGTGCACGCAAACGTTGCCTTAACTCGCGAAAACTCACTCGCTGCGCGTCCGAGAGGCGTTCCGACAGTTCCGGTGGCGGCGGTTTCGGCGGCAGTGGGGCCGCGGGAGAGGTAGAGATCTTCGGATCCGCAACCGGAATGTTCGAATGCAAAGAACTCACGCGAGACGGCGGCCCATTTTCGGAACGGGTCGGCAGCGTAGGTCATTCGACCCAACACCCTCGGCCGTCTGCGGTGTGGGATCCATCGATGCGAGCGGAATCTGCACAAGTGGGGCAGTCGCCACTCCAAGCACGTAACCGGGCTCCAACTCGGCGTACCCTGTCAACGGGATGTGTTGAGGCCAATGCGAAACAAACGCGTCCGACGCCGAAAGGGCGGCGTGTTTCGGTGAAAATGCGACAAGATAGTTGCCGGTGAGAGCAGGAGTGCCGGAATTGCGAACGAGGTTCACCCTCGTCAATGTGGGTTTATCGGAAAGGGAGACACCCTTCCTGCCGGCGTACCGCAGGAAGTAAGATGCCCCGAGGGCGGAGGGTCCAGCGACATACGCGGAAGCTCCCGCCGCAAAATCTGACGACAGAAAAAGTTTCTCCATCATGCGTCCACTCGCCGACCGCGTGGGCAAAGTAGTGGACAAACGAGAGTTAAAACGCATCCAACTATCACGTCCAAGAAGGAGGGCGTGACCCATGGCGGCAGCTGGGACAACATACACCCACACCGCTAGTGAAGCGGTGGCACTATAACCATAAAAAATTGAACGGACAGCCGCACGGATGAGGTGGTTTCGAGAGCATTGCCAGAACCAAAACCACCCCACTGCCGAACGGGCATCGAACGACGACGGTGGACAGATGCAGCTCCTGACGCCTCCATGGCCTCAAGAAAAGCATCACTAATGAAAGATGAAGGTAAGCCCGAATCCAAAAGGGCTACACCAGGCGCGGTACAGACGGCTCCTGTACCACATGCACACGGACTCGCGTCGTAGAGGTATCGTAATCCACAAAAACATCACCGCTCACCAAATCTGGACCGTGTTCCGCCAACAGCGGCGGTGGGGAAGCGGCGGCTTCGCGAAAAGCAGCAGAGGCAATGTCCAGCACCTGTTTCGAGTGGTCCGAGGGCGTGTTCGCTGGCACGCCCAAGAGGCCACGCGCGTCCTCGGAAGGGGGATCGTCAGCTGAAGAATCCTCCCCCGGGGATGCAATTTCGTGTATAGTGGGACACACGGGGGCAGATTGCCCCGAGTGTTCAGGGCGTAAAGGCTTATCGGGTTCGACCGGTCGCACACGCAGAAGCGTGCGCGTCGCAACAAGCGCCTTGCCCAAAAGGTTTCTACCAGTCCACTTGGAGGGCGACGCCGCACGCGGATCGAAGGCATCAACACCAATGCCCCACAATCCGTCATAAGGGCTAGCCTCCGCTATCTGTCTGTCACCCGTAGCCAACAAACGTTCGCACGCGTCAGCATTTTGGGCGAATTTTGCATACAAAAGCGGAAAGACAACATCCTCGCGTCGGAGCTCCCAGAGGGCATGGTCAAAACGGCGAACCTTGCGACCAAGGGACTTGTGTTCCCTCGGGTCGGAGGTAGCCATGATTTTGGCATAAGCGGCATCATCGCCGAAAATGCGGGCTTTCTCCGCCATCATGAACTGTTCGCCGCACACGTAGCGAATGCCATGGACCGAGAACTCACATGGCGTCCAGTTAGACAGAAAGGACGGCGGTTTCCAAAGAGGAAAACCTCATCGTTGTAATATTCCTGAATTCCATCAAAAACAGGGGCCTGCCGCGCGGGTGCGCTTACCTTCCCCGAAAAAATATCATCAAGGGAAATGGCACCGGCAACCGGCAGGACAATCTGGGTGCCACCCGAAGGCGGGCCGGATTGTGAGTTACGAGGAGAGGCAGGCAAAAGCGGTGAACCAGCCGCAGAATCGTGCGAAACCAAGCGGTCTACGCGGGCGTTTTCGCGCAAAACGTCGGCGTCGGTCTGTTCATTAAAAGCGGCCTTCATCGCGGGTGTTCGACCAACATGGCCAGCGGCCGCGGGAGGCTCGGGACCACTATCTCGTGACAAAGAACATGAAACTTCCGATTTTGGGAAACCGTCACTTGCGCTCGGCAACGGTGGTGCAGTCAGCACCGTGCGACGTTGGCGCTCCGTAGGGGAACGTCGCAAGGGGTCCGGAGGGGGCGCGGTGGGTACAAGCGTACTCGAGCCACCGTGGCGGGCCTGGGGCTGTCCCGAAGGTCCCTGTGCTTCCGCGTGGTTGACAAGGCCACCCGGAGCCGCCGAAACGTGGGAGTAGCCGAATCCATGCCTCCGGGGGGCGTAGACATCGGGGTGAGCGTCCGCGAGACACCCGAAGTTTTGTCGGCCCCTCGCCCACACCACAAGACTGTCTTCGGCGCGGACGAGTCACGACGGCCATCCAAAACAGACTGTGATGAGGCGTTGGGCGACATCTGGGAAATAAAAGGTTGGGAAACTAACATAGGCGAGCCCGAGGACATTTGTGTGAAACAAACATCTTGGGAACTAGTCGTACAGCACACACCTGGTGCTGTTGACGGCGATGTGTGCAAAGGGCCGTCACCGGCGTGTCAGTTACCCCGCGAGTGCGGGGTTCCGGAATTCCGAGTGTGCGGAGTTCCAGGAATGGCGGCGGGCGCCGGGGCCGCGGCGGCGCCTACGACCGGCGCCGGACGGTATGTGTGTGTGTTTGAGCGCCGTTTCCCAAAGCGCGGCCGTCGCCCTGTGTATGGTCGCTGCTCTTACCCATACCATTTTACTGTGCACACGCGGGCGGTGGGATTTCACGAGGCTCTGCGAACGTTCAAAAACATTGACGCTATCAGCATGCGAAGCAATGGCCGGGTTCAAGAAGCCGGTGTAATTCGTGAAATCATAAGGGCATCTTTTGAGGCTGTGGCCCGCCTGCCCGCAGTAGACATTGGCCGGAAAATTGCTGCAGCGCTTGTGCTCGGTCGGCGGGTGTCAACAGCGGTGTGAACAGAGGGGGGTTCACCTTTGCCATACTCACCACGACGCTGTACACAAAGCCGTAGTGACCACGTAACCGCCAGCAGTCATAGTCCTGCTCGAAGGGACATGTGTTATCGGACGGCACAGGGTCGATGGCCATCACCCCGGCGGGAAATTGTGGTCCCAGCGATCATGCGGATGGCTGCAGCGGCGACGGCGGTGGCGGCCGCTGCTGCCCCACGGTCGTGGTCATGGCTCGTGTAGGCGCCGATGAAAACCCAGAAGTGACGGTGGTAAAATAGAGGTCGCCATTGCAAGCGGGCGAATGTTTTAGTGCTTCCTCCGAAGATAAAGTCCCAAAGCTCATCCTGATCACTTAACACTACGTTGTGGAGAATCTTATCCTTCAACGGCAAAGACGAGAGAACGTTCGGATACTGCTCCAACNCGGTGTAATTCGTGAAATCATAAGGGCATCTTTTGAGGCTGTGGCCCGCCTGCCCGCAGTAGACATTGGCCGGAAAATTGCTGCAGCGCTTGTGCTCGGTCGGCGGGTGTCAACAGCGGTGTGAACAGAGGGGGGTTCACCTTTGCCATACTCACCACGACGCTGTACACAAAGCCGTAGTGACCACGTAACCGCCAGCAGTCATAGTCCTGCTCGAAGGGACATGTGTTATCGGACGGCACAGGGTCGATGGCCATCACCCCGGCGGGAAATTGTGGTCCCAGCGATCATGCGGATGGCTGCAGCGGCGACGGCGGTGGCGGCCGCTGCTGCCCCACGGTCGTGGTCATGGCTCGTGTAGGCGCCGATGAAAACCCAGAAGTGACGGTGGTAAAATAGAGGTCGCCATTGCAAGCGGGCGAATGTTTTAGTGCTTCCTCCGAAGATAAAGTCCCAAAGCTCATCCTGATCACTTAACACTACGTTGTGGAGAATCTTATCCTTCAACGGCAAAGACGAGAGAACGTTCGGATACTGCTCCAACAAAGCGTCCCGAAGCGCACGCTGTACCATGCGCAGATCCGCGAAAGCTCTGTGCGAGGCCAACTCCGATATTGCCAACGCCTTATACTTCGAAACGAATTTGCTGCACGGCGTGCCGTTGGGCACACCAAAACCCTGCAGCTTGTCGATGCCCCGGTTGAAACCTTTCGGTTCCCACTCGTCGGCGAGCAGCTTGAACAGCCGACGGTATGACGAGGGCCCCGACGTGTCCTTCGTCTCCAAGAAACGCTTCACCTGAGAAAACGAAGAATCCACCAATTCGCGGGTTGTGGCATTCGCGCCTTAAGGATTCGGAATGGCCATGAGGACACGCTTGTGGAAGGGAGCATACCATCCAGCCACCCATGTGGGTGACTTGATGGTCTGCTTGCCGGAGGGATCAGCGGCCGACAGGATTTCAGCCAACACACTTTCGGTCGAACGAACGAAAGCAGAAAATTCTGCAGGAGGAAGCGACACCACCGCATACAGTTCGTTCACTTTGAGCTCGCCGTATCCTTTGCGCGCGCTGAGGGCGTACGCCTCTGCGGCGGCAACGGCGTTCGCATCAACCTGTGCCTACGCAGTGCATGCACCGGCCGACGACAAGGGCAGTGCCCGGTCATCAGCGAAATCGCTTGCGGCCGCCTGCATGGCCGGAAGCGGCGGCCTAGCTACCGACACCGCGATAGCCGAGACCGGCGGTTCCTGTGGCAAAATACGTTGGGAGGGCGTCGGTACCATTCCGGAAACCTGTACCTTCTCCGTTGTCACAACGGGGGCGGGGGGCGGTACCTCTGGTTTCACATTAGCAAAAGTTGCATGCGAGGGCAAAGCGGAGGCTACTGATGGTGGCTCTGACATTACGAAAGGCATCGAATGTTGTGGCATCACCGGCGGCTGCGACACCGGCGGCACCGGCGGCACCGGCGGCACTGGTGGTACCGGTGGATGCGGCGCCGACCGCTGCGGCTCCGGCGGCGGCAGCGGCGGCTGCGGCGTGTGCGGCACCGGTGGCGCCGGCGGCAGCAACACCGACGGCTGCAGCGNTCAGCCAACACACTTTCGGTCGAACGAACGAAAGCAGAAAATTCTGCAGGAGGAAGCGACACCACCGCATACAGTTCGTTCACTTTGAGCTCGCCGTATCCTTTGCGCGCGCTGAGGGCGTACGCCTCTGCGGCGGCAACGGCGTTCGCATCAACCTGTGCCTACGCAGTGCATGCACCGGCCGACGACAAGGGCAGTGCCCGGTCATCAGCGAAATCGCTTGCGGCCGCCTGCATGGCCGGAAGCGGCGGCCTAGCTACCGACACCGCGATAGCCGAGACCGGCGGTTCCTGTGGCAAAATACGTTGGGAGGGCGTCGGTACCATTCCGGAAACCTGTACCTTCTCCGTTGTCACAACGGGGGCGGGGGGCGGTACCTCTGGTTTCACATTAGCAAAAGTTGCATGCGAGGGCAAAGCGGAGGCTACTGATGGTGGCTCTGACATTACGAAAGGCATCGAATGNGCCGGCGGCAGCAGCACCGACGGCTGCAGCACCGGCGGTTGCGGTACCTGCACCGGCGGCTGCGGCATCTACGACGGCGGCACCGGCGGCACCGTCCTCTGCAGCGGCGGTACCGGCGGCGACAGTATCGACAGCGGTGACACCGGCGATGGCAGTCTCGACGACGGCACGTCAAAAGCCGCTACCGACGGCGACGCCGTCGCCGACGGTTGTCGCTGCTGGGGGAAACTCGACAAAGACATGCGATGTAGTAGCTGTCGTNTGCACCGGCGGCTGCGGCATCTGCGACGGCGGCACCGGCGGCACCGTTCTCTGCAGCGGCGGTGCCGGCGGCGACAGCATCGACAGCGGTGACACCGGCGACGGCAGTCTCGACGACGGCACGTCAAAAGCCGCTACCGACGGCGACGCCGTCGCCGACGGTTGTCGCTGCTGGGGGAAACTCGACAAAGACATGCGATGTAGTAGCTGTCGTGCACGTTCTAGCTCAGGCTCGGGGTGGTCAACGATAGGTTGGGTCGCTTTGACCGACGTCTCAGCGATGTGGGGCGGCAAAGTACTCACCGGGGGCATGGCGGCATCAGACATTCGGGCGGAAGAGAGGGTAAGCGGGTCCTGCGGCATAGTCATCTGCCAATGTTGACCCCCAGGACCCATGGACGGCGGCTGCAACGGGTACGGGTTGCCGAGCGCATCTACAGCCCACGGCTGCTGAAAAAACGGCATGATTTGTGTTGCTATACCATACTGCACTTGCCTGCTGCTCGGACCAAAGTAGGAACGACGAGTAGTTTCGTGGCTGCCACGAGCCTCCCCCCCGGCATTTTGGTGACTACCACCCCGGTCCTTCCGATTACCATCTCCGCCGGCATCCCGATGGGCATCCGTGCATCCGCGGGAGTCATGCCCTCTCAAACGGCCTGCATCCTGCCTGCGGTACTTTTGTGTATGCGGGCAGTCATGAGTACGAGAGGAACGTTGGGACCCAGCAGACGCAGATGTGCCCCACCCGGAAGGTTCCGAAGTTTGCCCCCCCCATCTGAGAGCGGCGGCCCCCCGAACTCCCCGAACCAGACCTCGACCGTGCAGAAGTGTCCACATCCGCCCTCGAACATGCGGAAGTGTCTACATCCGCCTTCCGTACACGTCGCAGATCAACCACCAGCTGCTCAAGTCACCGACGTTTCTTGGACGACCAAAGGGAGCTGCCGTAAAGCAGGCTTGCTGTTCGTATTTGTCCTTTACTTGGAAGGGGAAGACGTATTATCTCTTGTATTAGACACGCAAGGGGAGCAGGGAGAAGTGAAGCCCTCTTCGGAGTTCGAGGGCTCCCCGCACATGCAACCATTTCAAGGTGTACATATGCCCCATCTGCGTGCCCTCTGTTGTTGCCGGTAGATCTAACCAGTCCGTATCCAAACACACGAACACCCTCCCCGGTTTGCACGCGAATGGCAAACCAAACGTGGGGCATGGATACCTCTGATCTACCAAAGGGACTCAAAACAACAACAGACTCGAGGGAAAACCCGGCCAACCGGATCAAAAACCCTCGTCTAACGCCCTAATNTATCCAAACACACGAACACCCTCCCCGGTTTGCACGCGAATGGCAAACCAAACGTGGGGCATGGATACCTCTGATCTACCAAAGGGACTCAAAACAACAACAGACTCGAGGGAAAACCCGGCCAACCGGATCAAAAACCCTCGTCTAACGCCCTAATTATAGAAAACCGTCGCTATCACGGAGGATTCCAACGGCCGCACTTCCAAGACAAGACCAAGGCAGGACAGATTGAACCGGTCACGCTGAATACGCACCCGAAGCAACGCTCTCGGCGTCTCTCGGCTCCAGCCGCGGGTGATGCGCCGGCACAACGCTTCCTGCGTGACGTACCATGGTCATATAGAGTCTATGCCAAGTGCTAAAACCACCACAAAAACCAAACAGAACAAGAGAACACTACATCNACGGAGGATTCCAACGGCCGCACTTCCAAGACAAGACCAAGGCAGGACAGATTGAACCGGTCACGCTGATTACACACCCGAAGCAACGCTCTCGGCGTTTCTAGGCTCCAGCCGCGGGTGATGCGCCGGCACAACGCTTCCTGCGTGACGTACCATGGTCATATAGAGTCTATGCCAAGTGCTAAAACCACCACAAAAACCAAACAGAACAAGAGAACACTACATCGGTAGGTTCATCAGAGCCTTCCGGTGGTACTCTAACTTCTCTCTGCCAAGGACCTTGGTCAGCATGTCGGCGTGCTGCTCTCCAGTCGGAACATACTCTGAAGTGATCTTGCCCGACTTGAATAGCTCGCGAATGAAATGGAACCGCACGTCGTTGTGATTGCTCCTCGCTGAGCTGAACGGGTTCTCGAGTAAGGCGAGAGCCCCCTGGTTGTCCTCAAGGATCTTGATCCTCGCCCCGCTCGTCTCGGGCGCTATGAACGACAGAACGCCACGCACAAACAACGCCTCCTTCATCACATCAAACTGCTTCAGCATACTCTCAATGTATGCTGTCTGGGACAGCTGGGTGATGCCATTTTCTACATCCATGGCGAAAGCACACCCGTCGTACCAGGTACACTCCCCCAGATCGTTCACCGGAAACTTCTTGTTGAGGGAAGCGAACAACCCCTCTCGCTCTCCCTCGTCTGCCGCCACTAAGATGTCACCAACGTAGATCACGATGAGACCTAAGACCTCTCCATCCACCACTTCAACCCTTGCACTGCTCGTATCCATTTTCGATGAGGGCATTGGCAGCTTCAAACCCCCACTCATGGCCACTCTGCTTTAGGCCATACAGGGCACGCTCAACCTTGACCACCTTGCCGGACATGCTACCATAGCCTTCCGGGAACCTGGGGATAATTTCTTCTTTTAGCTTAGCGTGGGTGTACGCTTGCTTCACATCCCAGTGAGCGAGTTTCTTGCCCTTTTCAGTGGCTACGGCAATCATCGTCTTGATGGACGCTGCAGACGGGCACGTTGAGAATGAGTGGTGGAAGTCGATGCCGGGGATTTGAAAGAAACCCCGCGCAACCATACGGGCCTTGAAGTCGCTATCAGGCCCTTCTCATTCGTCTTCCAAGAGAACACCCACTTTGAACCTATGGCCTTCCCTTCCTCGGGCAGCTCCTTGACCTGGTAAAGGTTCCAGTTTTGTCGTGGCCATCTATCTCTTTCTTCATGGCCGCCTCCCAGAAAACCTTGTTTTTGGAACACATCACATCCTTGTACGTCATCGGTACTGCTTCCACATCACGTGGCTTCTGCCCGATTGGCGAGGTCATACTTAGCTGTGGGTATGGGAGTGCTTGCGAAGACCCGCTGGCGTCGACCTCGGCCCCGAACGCCTGCTGTTCCGGGCCCAACACCTCCTGCATCTCGCGCCTGTACATCTCCTCCATACGGCGTGTCTGCTCCTCGTCCCACTGCTCCTTCACAAGCGAGTTGCAGATGTAGTCCTCAACAATCCCCGTCCCGCCAGTTTCCAGGATGGTCGCCAGCAATGCCTCTTCCGGGTCAGGTGTTTCTCCGGGCCCCGGCATCTCCCCGGCACCTTGCATCTCCCGGATCTGCTTCCGCGTGTGGCCACTCTCAAGCCCATGGCGCAGCGGGCCAGCGTTCGAGGCGCCCCAGAGGAGTTTCTTCCCTTTTAGCCCGCGGGGGTAGCGGTCGTCGCCTGGATCATAATTCAACTCCTCGAGGTTCTCGGAGTCACCGGGATCACCACCGCTACCGCCGCCCCCACCTGGGTCGCCGGGCTCTTCGCCGCCCGGGCCGCCGGCACCGCCGGCGTCACTGCTGCTGCTGCTCGGGCTGCTGCTGCTGCTGCTGCTGCTGCTGCTGCTGTTGCTGCTGCTGCTGTCGGTGGGGCTGTCACCGCCTCCGCCGAAGTCGCCCCTCCCCGAAGGGGGCGACGGGAGAACGCTGCCTCCGTTCCCCGGAATCCCGTTGCCGGGTGCCGTCGGCGCCTCCTCGCGCACAAACGGCGTCGCTTGCCCTGGC